TGAGGTGAAGCACTTTAGGAAGAAGTGGTGGCACAAAAAAAAAAGGATTCTTACCACACTGGTGTTGGACTGTGGCACAGCACAATTTATTCATTATATGTTTTGATTAAAACATTTTTTATCATGTGTATGTGATTCATCTTTTTATTATGCAGCTCTTTCCCCTGCTCCTGGAAATCTGCCTCTGGGAAAATGCAGTTCAAAAGCTCTTGATTACAGTAGAGTCTCTCCTCTGCACAACAGTTCCCACAATGAATTGCTGCCTGACTCAATCTATTGAATTCTTCCTGCTCAGCAGCTCCCTCCTCTTGCTGATTTACAGTAGCTGCTAACCAGTTCAGCACTGCAGGCAGCAGCTACAGAGAGCAGCTGCAGCCAGTGTTTCTCTCACTTTCCATTCTTACCCAAGCACCTGGCTACACATAATGTCCTCAAGTAAAGAAATGTTCACCCTTACAAAGCTATCCACACAATATGGTAAATACATGTGACAAAGTTGTGAAAAAGAAAGCAACCCAAACTGTGCTAAAAATGTGAAAAGGGCTTCTTCCAGAACTAAAAACACCTCCACACAGTGCTCTCCTTAAATGCTCACCCAACAAGAGACCTCTATGTTATAGGAGATAATGCGCAAATCCAAGACATACATAGAACCAACACGCCATACACTTGCCAATTATGCTTTGATCCTGGTACCATTCACACTTCCTGATTTATGTGCCATCTTTTAAAGCTCATATATTCTCAGATTCATGTGAAAAAAAAACAAATATAATTCTCTCTATCTCAATATTTATTAAAAAGCCAACATGAAAGCGTTCTCACAAGCAAAATGAACAGACAATACTGAAGAGATTAGATGCACAGAGCACTGCTGTGAAAAAAACTTCTGGCAGGTAGTTTCAGAATATCTCTTGAAAGCATGATGACGTCATTTTGGGTGCATTCTATCTAACACGTTCCTGGTAAGAGGAAGGAGTTCCTTTCGGGGGTCAGCATGCTTACACACTCTCTAGTTCCCATTTGTTGCCATAGTGACAATAAACAAACACTAAATGTATAAACCCTTCCATGCTAATAGATATAATAAACTGTGAGAAAAGTATATTTTAAAACTGTGAAACAAATAACTTATTCTTCTACCAATAACCAGCAACTATAAATAAATATAAACCCCTAAGTGATATAACAAAATAATAATTACAGCACAGATTCAATAATATTAAATATTCATCAGTGTGAAAATCCATTCACAATAAATCATTCAATAAATATCAAGATCAAATAAAGTCCTCCAAATAATACATGAAAATATTTTTAACCAAAATAAATTTCCAATGAAATAAGTTCAAATGAAGTAGTCCAATGGTCCAATGACTAAAAAATTCTCATCATCAATGTTATTCTTCCAAAAAAATCTTTGAACCAAAGCGATCCACTTTAGTGATACAGGAAAACACACTCATCAGAAGTGTATGCCTACCTTACTACAAGATTAGGTAAACACAGCTTGTATTAATCCCAAAGATCTTCCAAATAGGTGCAGTCCACTTTAAGCCTTCACCTCCACTACTGTCCTCTCCGCATTCCCCATAGTATCTTAAACATCCAAATTTATTTGACACAAGCATTCAAGCTGCTCACAAAAACTGTTTAGGCATAGGCTTAAAATCAAGCATATACTGTAGATGTGTCAGCAAAGATATACAGAGAAGCTGCCAGCCACCAGCCACTGCAATCCTTCCCAGCTCACAGAAACAGCAACAATGACAGGACACAGTTTCTTCTCACTCCTATCATCAGGCTCCGCCCGTACATGTTTCATCCGTTCTGACTTCATCAAGGGGGATCCTATTTCATGTATTGCTTGGAGGACTTTATTTGATCACGATATTTATTGAATGATTTATTGTGCATGAATTTTCACTCTGATTAATATTTTATATTATTGAATAAGCACTGTAATTGTTATTTTGTAATAAACAAACACTATTCTACACAACTGGCAGCTCTTATGAAACAGGACAGTGTTACTATTTACATACACATTTCATCAACTCTGTTATTGAAAAAAACACAAAAAATCCCATAAATACTAAAAAATAAAAGGCATACATGACCACATTGCATCACATATGAGGGGACTGCTCTCATACTTAAACAAAAACAGTGACATATCGCTCTAGACATGTGTACAAATATTGCAATCCATGTGGTGAGATATATATATATATATATATATATATATATATATATATATATATATATATATATATATATAAAAATTCATAGTTAAAACAACCTTCTCCCATAATAATGAAATTCAATAATAGAGGGAATGGATAGGGCTAAACTGCTACAAGATAAGAAAAAAGAAACTTTTAGTGAATCTCCCATTTCTACAGTTATAATACTAGATTATAAATTACAATTTATAAAAGTGGAAATAATTATCAGGAGACATTGGTCAGTCCTAAAAAAGGATAAACAATTAGAACCCATACTCTCGGGAATGCTTTAAATTTATTTACAAGAAAGCCCCCACATTAAGGGATAGATCAACCAAAAATGTTATTGACCCACAGAAAAGTCTATCTTCACTTTTTTTGATCAGACTGTTTTGTGCTTGTAAAGAAACTAAAGGTAATATAAGAAGAAATTATTTCACAGCTTCTGCCACAGGAAGGCATTTCCAAAATTAAGAATTTTATATCATGTACTTTTGAGGGGGTCATATACATGCTGGAGTGCCCTTGTGAGTTTCACTATGTGGGGCAAACCTTGAGAACATGTTTAATATACAGTATATGGAAGAAATACAAAAAGCACAGTATGTCCAGTCATTGTTGGATCCAGCATAAGTGAGGTTTGAGGTTTTAGGAAATTGAAAAAAGTCCAGAAATATTGGAGAACGTAAAATTTTATTAGACATTTAAGTCAACAGGAAACAAAGTGGATCTACAACATGAAACATGGAGTTGCACCTCAACTGGTTTAACAGTAAGGATTAACTGTAAAGAGGTACAGTAGTAGTATAGAAAGTTTTTTATAAGACATTTTGACATGATGGTAGGATACCCTGAATGATTAGGTGATTTATTAATTTCTTTTTTAACACAAACCTACCTCCTCTCCCTTATTATTTCTAAAGTTTTTTTTAAAGTCCCTGTAATTCTTTTAGCTTATTTATGGGTTATATATAACATATAATTTTTTATTTTTTTGGAATTTGTATTAAATTGCTTGGCATGCACATGCACAAGTTTCTAATATATACATATTTTTTTCTTTTTTAATTGGGGAGGGTTGTTTTATCTATGGTTCTATATAAGTTAATACATATTTATTGCCACATTTCTGGATTGCATTTTTGCACACATATCTAGATGGATCTTTCACTGTGTTTGTTTATGTATGAGAGTGATCCCCTCATATGTGATGCACTGTGATCATTTATGCTTTTCATTGATCAGTATTTATGGTATTTTAAATGTTTTAAAAAAAAATTTTAATAAAAGAGTCAGGGCTTTTTTTTCAGCAGGAATGTGGGGGAACGCAGGGTCGGCACCTCCAGCACTGAATGAATGTAGTGGCAAGGGGTGTGCTGAAAGGCCTTTTGATGCTGGTTGCTGGAGGGATCTATTGTCGCTGGAGGGGATCTAATTGTGCATGGTGACCTATTGTTGCTGTTGGGGGATATATTGTTTCTTGAAAGGATCTACTGTTGAGGGGGAGGTCTATTGTTGCTGGCTGCTGGAGAGTATATTGATACTGACTGTATTGAGATCTGTTGTTGCTCTTGGGTGTCTATTGTTGCTGGGGTGGAATTTTGTTGCTGTTGTTCATTACTGCTGAGGAAATCTATTGTTGCTGGGGGGGGTGATTATTGCTGTTGGCTATGAGGTACCTATTTTACTGTTTTTCTTGTTATCATTAACAAATTCCATTATAATTACTTAGCACCACAAAATAATGCTTGGCTGTGTATTCTCTATAAGGCACAGGACTGGGAGGTGGGTAGGAAGCAAGGGACGGTACTCGGAGGTGGGTAGGGGGTGGAGACAAGAGGTGATTCAGAAGGGGGGAGTTCCTGCACCTATTTTCTGAGAAAAAAAGCCCTGAAAAGAGTTAATGCAATGTGTGTGTAAATAGTAACCTTGTCCCAGTTTCATAAGAACTGCCAGTTACATGAAATAGTGTTTATTTATTGTTTCTATAGCAACAACTGGGAACTAGAGAGTATGTAAGTGTGTTGATGCCAGGAGGAACTCCTACTTCTGATGAAGTTCTGCCCAGAAACGCAATGCGTTAGTTTCCATCCCGAGTGATGTCATATCTCTTTTGATGGATGTTCTAAAACTACTTGCCAGAAGTTTTTTTTCACAGCAGTGCTTTGTGCATCTATTTTATTAGGCGATGTTTGTCCATTCTGCTTGTATGTTTTTATGTCAGCTTTTTAATAAATACTAAGATAGCATTAGATTTGTTTTTTCTTTCACATGCATATGAAGACATGAGCTTTATAAGAGGGCATATATATCAGGAAATATGAATGGTACCAGGATCAAAACAAATTTGTGGAGAAGATAAAGACTGGTGAGTGTATGGTATCTGAGTTCCATGTATTTCTTGGATTTGAACATTAAAAGACATCCCATAACTTAGATGTCTTTTGCTGGGTAAGCATTTAAGGACAGCGCTAAGTAGAGGTGTTTTGGATTGGGAAGAAGCCTTTTCCCATGTTTTTGAGCACAGTTTGGATTTCTTCCTTTCTTCCCAATATTGTCATTAGAGATGAGCGAATTATTCAAAAATTCGATTCGGCTGATTCGGCGAATTCGAGGAATAAATTTGATTCGAGTCGAATATATTCGCTGCGAATTTAACTTATAAAAAGGGTGTTTCTAGGCTTCAGAGAGCCTTTATATTAGTGCAGAACACTGTACCTTTAATTTAAATGCCCTTGGAGTCTGCTGGGGAAGAGAAATAATACTGTCAGTCAGCATGACATGCAGATGAGTGCCGTCGATCTTAGAATCACCGCACACTTCACTCATTTGGGCAGTCACGGGGCCAAAACCAGAGTGTGGAGCCACAGTGTGGCGGGTGGAGGCAGCAGCAATGGGAGGCCATACAGCACCCTATGAAAAAATGGAACCCACCAGCAGTGTGAGGAGACCTGAAAGTGGCACATGGCAGAGTGTGGCGATGGAGACAGCAGCAATGGGAGGCCGTACAGGGACCCATGGCACACTCTGGACCTGGCAGCAGCATGAGGAGGCGGGTACAGGGGCCCATGACAGATTACAGGCCTGGCAGCAGCATGAGAGTCGGTACGGGGGCCCATGGCAGATTACGGGCCTGGCAGCAGCAATGGGAGGCCCGTAATCTGCCAGCACCCTATGACAAAATGGAACCCACCAGCAGTGTGAGGAGACCTGAAAGTGGCACATGGCAGAGTGTGGCGATGGAGACAGCAGCAATGGGAGGCCGTACAGGGACCCATGACACACACTCTGGACCTGGCAGCAGCATGAGGAGGCGGTACAGGGGCCCATGACAGATTACGGGCCTGGCAGCAGCATGAGGAGTCGGTACGGGGGCCCATGGCAGATTATGGGCCTGGCAGCAGCAATGGGAGGCCTGTGTAATCTGCCAGCACCCTATGACAAAATGGAACCCACCAGCAGTGTGAGGAGACCTGAAAGTGGCACATGGCAGCAGAGTGTGGCGATGGAGACAGCAGCAATGGGAGGCCGTACAGGGACCCATGACACACTCTGGACCTGGCAGCAGCATGAGGAGGCGGCGGTACAGGGGCCCATGACAGATTACGGGCCTGGCAGCAGCAGCATGAGGAGTCGGTACGGGGGCCCATGGCAGATTACGGGCCTGGCAGCAGCAATGGGAGGCCCGTAATCTGCCAGCACCCTATGACAAAATGGAACCCACCAGCAGTGTGAGGAGACCTGAAAGTGGCACATGGCAGAGTGTGGCGATGGAGACAGCAGCAATGGGAGGCCGTACAGGGACCCATGACACACTCTGGACCTGGCAGCAGCATGAGGACGCGGTACAGGGGCCCATGACAGATTACGGGCCTGGCAGCAGCATGAGGAGTCGGTACGGGGGCCCATGGCAGATTACGGGCCTGGCAGCAGCAATGGGAGGCCCGTAATCTGCCAGCACCCTATGCAAAATGGAACCCACCAGCAGTGTGAGAGACCTGAAAGTGGCACCTGGCAGAGTGTGGCGATGGAGACAGCAGCAATGGGAGGCCGTACAGGGACCCATGACACACTCTGGACCTGGCAGCAGCATGAGGAGGCCGTACAGGGGCCCATGACAGATTACGGGCCTGGCAGCAGCATGAGGAGTCGGTACGGGGGCCCATGGCAGATTACGGGCCTGGCAGCAGCAATGGGAGGCCCGTAATCTGCCAGCACCCTATGACAAAATGGAACCCACCAGCAGTGTGAGGAGACCTGAAAGTGGCACATGGCAGAGTGTGGCGTGGCGATGGAGACAGCAGCAATGGGAGGCCGTACAGGGACCCATGACACACTCTGGACCTGGCAGCAGCATGAGGAGGAGGCGGTACAGGGGCCCATGACAGATTACGGGCCTGGCAGCAGCAGCAATGGGAGGCCCGTAATCTGCCAGCACCCTATGACAAAATGGAACCCACCAGCAGTGTGAGGAGACCTGAAAGTGGCACATGGCAGAGTGTGGATGGAGACAGCAGCAATGGGAGGCCGTACAGGGACCCATGACACACTCTGGACCTGGCAGCAGCATGAGGAGGCGGTACAGGGGCCCATGACAGATTACGGGCCTGGCAGCAGCATGAGGAGTCGGTACGGGGGCCCATGGCAGATTACGGGCCTGGCAGCAGCAATGGGAGGCCCGTAATCTGCCAGCACCCTATGACAAAATGGAACCCACCAGCAGTGTGAGGAGACCTGAAAGTGGCACATGGCAAAGTGTGGCGATGGAGACAGCAGCAATGGGAGGCCGTACAGGGACCCATGACACACTCTGGACCTGGCAGCAGCATGAGGAGGCGGTACAGGGGCCCATGACAGATTACGGGCCTGGCAGCAGCATGAGGAGTCGGTACGGGGGCCCATGGCAGATTACGGGCCTGGCAGCAGCAATGGCAGGCCCGTAATCTGCCAGCACCCTATGACAAAATGGAACCCACCAGCAGTGTGAGGAGACCTGAAAGTGGCACATGGCTGAGTGTGGCGATGGAGACAGCAGTAATGGGAGGCCGTACAGGGACCCATGACACACTCTGGACCTGGCGGATTTAGTCAGTTGTGTCAGGAACTGGTGGTTTGAAATCCAGACTAAGGGGCCCATGACAGATTCATTTTCACAAACGTGAGTCTCCTCCACACTTTGGGGTGGACAGTCGTGTCCCCGCGGAGTTACAATACCTTGGGCCTGCCGCACTAAACACGCGCTCCGATGCCACGACTACTGGCCGGGCATGGCCATGACAGCCTTTCAATGGCAAATTCAGCTAGTTGGGGCCAAAGGTCAAGTTTCGTTGCCCAGTAGTCAAGAAGATTGTCTACCTCGGTACAGGGTGCTGTCCAAGTAGGCCCAAGCCTGTTGTTTGAGGTCCTGCTCCAGGTCCACCTGCATGCTGCCTGGCAGCTGCTGCGGCTGGTTAGTATCCTCACTGCGCTGGTGAAGAAAGCTACTCATCATCGACTGCAGACTGAGGCAGCCGCTGCTGGTGGAGCTGTCACTGCTCCTACCACCCCACCCCTCCCCTGCTGCCATGGCAGCGGAATGCGCGCGCGCACAGGGCCCACAGTGTCTGAGGATGGACGTTGGCGCAGAAAGGCAGAGACCAACTGACTACATAGGAACCCACCCATAGTGAGGGAGTTATTTTGGCCTCCCTCTCAGCAGGTGTGAGACAGCAGCAATGGGAGGCCGTACCATTTTTGAACGGTAGCGAGGGTCCAGCAACAAGGTGGACAGCCCAAAAGTCATCCCTCCCTGTCTGATGGTTATTACTCGGGCTGTCGCTACGCAAGCAAGCGAGCATGCTATGGGCCATTTGTGCCAAGGAATGCGAGGGACTCCCTGCCTCCATCTCCACAGCATACTGCCACGGTGCGTCTGGGTCCTCTGTCTCCTCCTCCTCCTCTCAGAGATGCTCCTGCTCCTCCACTCCTGTCCGCTGAGTGGAAAAACCACCCATTTCACTCAATAATTCCTGAGAACCAATGTCCTCCTCTACCTCCTCCTCCCTTCCTGTCCTGCCCCAACAGGGGTCATGTGGCGTTGAGATCTGTGCGCCACGTCAATGGGACCGCCACCCTGACCAGGGACCCATTGTTAACAGCATTTGTTCCAGGACTGGCACAGAGGAATGACGTCGTTCATCCCATAGTCCTGCCGACTCACAAATAGCGTGGCCCTCCTCAAAGGGCCTGAGCAAGCGGCAGGTGGTGTCACGCATGAGATACTGCCTGGCAGAGGCCAATGGCTGACATCTAAGTTACACAGGGGAGTACCTTTATGAAAGTAACATCAGGAAATCGGTGATGGCCTTTCGCTGTTCGTAAAGGCGGTCTAACATACCCATGGTTGAATTCCACCTTGTTGCAACGTCAGCAGCATGAGGAGTCACGGGGGCCCATGGCAGATTACGGGCCTGGCAGCAGCAATGGGAGGCCCGTAATCTGCCAGCACCCTATGACAAAATGGAACCCACCAGCAGTGTGAGGAGACCTGAAAGTGGCACATGGCAGAGTGTGGCGATGGAGACAGCAGCAATGGGAGGCCGTACAGGGACCCATGACACACTCTGGACCTGGCAGCAGCATGAGGAGGCGGTACAGGGGCCCATGACAGAGATTACGGGCCTGGCAGCAGCATGAGGAGTCGGTACGGGGGCCCATGGCAGATTACGGGCCAGGCAGCAGCAATGGGAGGCCCGTAATCTGCCAGCACCCTATGACAAAATGGAACCCACCAGCAGTGTGTGAGGAGACCTGAAAGTGGCACATGGCAGAGTGTGGCGATGGAGACAGCAGCAATGGGAGGCCGTACAGGGACCCATGACACACTCTGGACCTGGCAGCAGCATGAGGAGGCGGTACAGGGGCGGTACAGGGGCCCATGACAGATTACGGGCCTGGCAGCAGCATGAGGAGTCGGTACGGGGGCCCATGGCAGATTACGGGCCTGGCAGCAGCAATGGGAGGCCCGTAATCTGCCAGCACCCTATGATGACAAAATGGAACCCACCAGCAGTGTGAGGAGACCTGAAAGTGGCACATGGCAGAGTGTGGCGATGGAGACAGCAGCAATGGGAGGCCGTACAGGGACCCATGACACACTCTGGACCTGGCAGCAGCATGAGGAGGCGGTACAGGGGGGCCCATGACAGATTACGGGCCTGGCAGCAGCATGAGGAGCCCGGTACGGGGGGCCCATGGCAGATTACGGGCCTGGCAGCAGCAATGGGAGGCTGTACAGGGACCCATGACACACTCTGGACCTGGCACAGCAGCATGAGGAGGCGGTACAGGGGCCCATGACAGATTACGGGCCTGGGCAGCAGCATGAGGAGTCGGTACCGGTGCAAAGGGCCCATGGCAGATTACGGGCCTGGCAGCAGCAATGGGAGGCCGTACAGGGACCCATGACACACTCTGGACCTGGCAGCAGCATGAGCAGAGGAGGCGGTACAGGGGCCCATGACAGATTACGGGCCTGGCAGCAGCATGAGGAGTCGGTACGGGGGCCCATGGCAGATTACGGGCCTGGCAGCAGCAATGGGAGGCCCGTAATCTGCCAGCACCCTATGACAAAATGGAACCCACCAGCAGTGTGAGGAGACCTGAAAGTGGCACATGGCAGAGTGTGGCGATGGAGACAGCAGCAATGGGAGGCCGTACAGGGACCCATGACACACTCTGGACCTGGCAGCAGCATGAGGAGGCGGTACAGGGGCCCATGACAGATTTCGGGCCTGGCAGCAGCAATGGGAGTCGGTACTGGGCACCCATGGCAAGATGGAACGGGCCACCAGCAGCAGTGTGGGAGACCCGTACAGGGCACCCATGACAGACTGTGGCCTGGCAGCAGCATGGGAGGTGGTACAGGGGCCCATGACAGATTACGGGCCTGGCAGCAGCATGAGGAGTCGGTACGGGGGCCCATGGCAGATTACGGGCCTGGCAGCAGCAATGGGAGGCCCGTAATCTGCCAGCACCCTATGACAAAAATGGAACCCACCAGCAGTGTGAGGAGACCTGAAAGTGGCACATGGCAGAGTGTGGCGATGGAGACAGCAGCAATGGGAGGCCGTACAGGGACCCATGACACACTCTGGACCTGGCAGCAGCATGAGGAGGCGGTACAGGGGCCCATGACAGATTTCGGGCCTGGCAGCAGCATGAGGAGTCGGTACGGGGGCCCATGGCAGATTACGGGCCTGGCAGCAGCAATGGGAGGCCATACAGCACCCTATGACAAAATGGAACCCACCAGCAGTGTGAGGAGACCTGAAAGTGGCACATGGCAGAGTGTGGCGATGGAGACAGCAGCAATGGGAGGCCGTACACAGGGACCCATGACCACACACTGGACATGGCAGCAGCAGAGGAGGCGGTACAGGGGCCCATGACAGATTACGGGCCTGGCAGCAGCATGAGGAGTCAGTACGGGGGCCCATGGCAGATTACGGGCCTGGCAGCAGCAATGGGAGGCCCGTAATCTGCCAGCACCCTATGACAAAATGGAACCCACCAGCAGTGTGAGGAGACCTGAAAGTGGCACATGGCAGAGTGTGGCGATGGAGACAGCAGCAATGGGAGGCCGTACAGGGACCCATGACACACTCTGGACCTGGCAGCAGCATGAGGAGGCGGTACAGGGGTGACAGGGGGCCCATGACAGATTACGGGCCTGGCAGCAGCAGCAATGGGAGGCCCGTAATCTGCCAGCACCCTATGACAAAATGGAACCCACCAGCAGTGTGAGGAGACCTGAAAGTGGCAGTGGCACATGGCAGAGTGTGGCGATGGAGACAGCAGCAATGGGAGGCCGTACAGGGACCCATGACACACTCTGGACCTGGCAGCAGCATGAGGAGGCGGTACAGGGGCCCATGACAGATTACGGGCCTGGCAGCAGCATGAGGAGTCGGTACGGGGGCCCATGGCAGATTACGGGCCTGGCAGCAGCAATGGGAGGCCCGTAATCTGCCAGCACCCTATGACAAAATGGAACCCACCAGCAGTGTGAGGAGACCTGAAAGTGGCACATGGCAGAGTGTGGCGATGGAGACAGCAGCAATGGGAGGCCGTACAGGGACCCATGACACACTCTGGACCTGGCAGCAGCATGAGGAGGCGGTACAGGGGCCCATGACAGATTACGGGCCTGGCAGCAGCATGAGGAGTCGGTACGGGGGCCCATGGCAGATTACGGGCCTGGCAGCAGCAATGGGAGGCCCGTAATCTGCCAGCACCCTATGACAAAATGGAACCCACCAGCAGTGTGAGGAGACCTGAAAGTGGCACATGGCAGAGTGTGGGCGATGGAGACAGCAGCAATGGGAGGCCGTACAGGGACCCATGACACACTCTGGACCTGGCAGCAGCATGAGGAGGCGGTACAGGGGCCCATGACAGATTACGGGCCCTGGCAGCAGCAGCAATGGGAGGCCCGTAATCTGCCAGCACCCTATGACAAAATGGAACCCACCAGCAGTGTGAGGAGACCTGAAAGTGGCACATGGCAGAGTGTGGCGATGGAGACAGCAGCAATGGGAGGCCGTACAGGGACCCATGACACACTCTGGACCTGGCAGCAGCATGAGGAGGAGGCGGTACAGGGGCCCATGACAGATTACGGGCCTGGCAGCAGCATGAGGAGTCGGTACGGGGGCCCATGGCAGATTACGGGCCTGGCCTGGCAGCAGCAATGGGAGGCCCGTAATCTGCCAGCACCCTATGACAAAATGGAACCCACCAGCAGTGTGAGGAGACCTGAAAGTGGCACATGGCAGAGTGTGGCGATGGAGACAGCAGCAATGGGAGGCCGTACAGGGACCCATGACACACTCTGGACCTGGCAGCAGCATGAGGAGGCGGTACAGGGGCCCATGGACAGATTACGGGCCTGGCAGCAGCAATGGGAGCCCGTAATCTGCCAGCACCCTATGACAAAATGGAACCCACCAGCAGTGTGAGAGGAGACCTGAAAGTGGCACATGGCAGAGTGAGTGTGGCGATGGGCACACAGCAGCAATGGGATGGGGCAGCAATGGGAGGCCGTACAGGGACCCATGACACACTCTGGACCTGGCAGCAGCATGAGGAGGCGGTACAGGGGCCCATGACAGATTACGGGCCTGGCAGCAGCATGAGGAGTCGGTACGGGGGCCCATGGCAGATTACGGGCCTGGCAGCAGCAATGGGAGGCCCGTAATCTGCCAGCACCCTATGACAAAATGGAACCCACCAGCAGTGTGAGGAGACCTGAAAGTGGCACATGGCAGAGTGTGGGCGATGGAGACAGCAGCAATGGGAGGCCGTACAGGGACCCATGACACACTCTGGACCTGGCAGCAGCATGAGGAGGCGGTACAGGGGCCCATGACAGATTACGGGCCTGGCAGCAGCAATGGGAGGCCCGTAATCTGGGAGGCCCAGCAGCACCCTATGACAAAATGGAACCCACCAGCAGTGTGAGGAGACCTGAAAGTGGCACATGGCAGAGTGTGGCGATGGAGACAGCAGCAATGGGAGGCCGTACAGGGACCCATGACACACTCTGGACCTGGCAGCAGCAGCATGAGGAGGCGGTACAGGGGCCCATGACAGATTACGGGCCTGGCAGCAGCATGAGGAGTCGGTACGGGGGCCCATGGCAGATTACGGGCCTGGCAGCAGCAATGGGAGGCCCGTAATCTGCCAGCACCCTATGACAAAATGGAACCCACCAGCAGTGTGAGGAGACCTGAAAGTGGCACATGGCAGAGTGTGGCGATGGAGACAGCAGCAATGGGAGGCCGTACAGGGACCCATGACACACTCTGGACCTGGCAGCAGCAGGAGGCGGTACAGCATGACAGAGCAGCATGAGGAGGCGGTACGGGGGCCCATGGCAGATTACGGGCCTGGCAGCAGCAATGGGAGGCCCGTAATCTGCCAGCACCCTATGACAAAATGGAACCCACCAGCAGTGTGAGGAGACCTGAAAGTGGCACATGGCAGAGTGTGGCGATGGAGACAGCAGCAATGGGAGAGGCCGTACAGGGACCCATGACACACTCTGGACCTGGCAGCAGCATGAGGAGGCGTACAGGGGCCCATGACAGATTACGGGCCTGGCAGCAGCATGAGGAGTCGGTACGGGGGCCCATGGCAGATTACGGGCCTGGCAGCAGCAATGGGAGGCCCGTAATCTGCCAGCACCCTATGACAAAATGGAACCCACCAGCAGTGTGTGAGGAGACCTGAAAGTGGCACATGGCAGAGTGTGGCGATGGAGAGACAGCAGCAATGGGAGGCCGTACAGGGACCCATGACACACACTCTGGACCTGGCAGCAGCAGATGAGGAGGCGGTACAGGGGCCCATGACAGATTACGGGCCTGCAGCAGCAGCAATGGGAGGCCCAGCAGCAAATCTGCCAGCACCCTATGACAAAATGGAACCCACCAGCAGTGTGAGGAGACCTGAAAGTGGCACATGGCAGAGTGTGGCGATGGAGACAGCAGCAAAGGGAGGCCGTACAGGGACCCATGACACACTCTGGACCTGGCAGCAGCATGAGGAGGCGGTACAGGGGCCCATGACAGATTACGGGCCTGGCAGCAGCATGAGGAGTCGGTACGGGGGCCCATGGCAGATTACGGGCCTGGCAGCAGCAATGGGAGGCCCGTAATCTGCCAGCACCCTATGACAAAATGGAACCCACCAGCAGTGTGAGGAGACCTGAAAGTGGCACATGGCAGAGTGTGGCGATGGAGACAGCAGCAGCAATGGCAGCAGGAGGCCGTACAGGGACCCAATGACACACACACTCTGGACCTGGCAGCAGCATGAGGAGGCGGTACAGGGGGCCCATGGCAGATTACGGGCCTGGCAGCAGCAATGGGAGGCCCGTAATCTGCCAGCACCCTATGACAAAATGGAACCCACCAGCAGTGTGAGGAGACCTGAAAGTGGCACATGGCAGAGAGTGTGGCGATGGAGACAGCAATGGGAGGCCGTACAGGGACCCATGACACACTCTGGACCTGGCAGCAGCATGAGGAGGCGGTACAGGGGGCCCATGACAGATTACGGGCCTGGCAGCAGCATGAGGAGTCGGTACGGGGGCCCATGGCAGATTACGGGCCTGGCAGCAGCAGCAATGGGAGGCCCGTAATCTGCCAGCACCCTATGACAAAATGGAACCCACCAGCAGTGTGAGGAGACCTGAAAGTGGCACATGGCAGAGTGTGGCGATGGAGACAGCAGCAATGGGAGGAGGCCGTACAGGGACCCATGACACACTCTGGACCTGGCAGCAGCATGAGGAGGCGGTACAGGGGCCCATGACAGATACCCATGGCAGATTACGGGCCTGGCATGGCAGCTGGCAGCAATGGGAGGCCCGTAATCTGCCAGCACCCTATGTGACAAAATGGAACCCACCAGCAGTGTGAGGAGACCTGAAAGTGCACACATGGCAGAGTGTGGCGATGGAGACAGCAGCAATGGGAGGCCGTACAGGGACCCATGACACACTCTGGACCTGGCAGCAGCATGAGGAGGCGGTACAGGGGCCCATGACAGATTACGGGCCTGGCAGCAGCATGAGGAGATCGGTACGGGGGCCCATGGCAGATTACGGGCCTGGCAGCAGCAATGGGAGGCCCGTAATCTGCCAGCACCCTATGACAAAATGGAACCCACCAGCAGTGTGAGGAGACCTGAAAGTGGCACATGGCAGAGTGTGGCGATGGAGACAGCAGCAATGGGAGGCCGTACAGGGGACCCATGACACACCACCTGGAGGCCTGGCAGCAGCATGACAGGACGGGCCTGGCGGTACGGTACGGGGGCCCATGGCAGATTACGGGCCTGGCAGCAGCAATGGGAGGCCCGTAATCTGCCAGCACCCTATGTGACAAAATGGAACCCACCAGCAGTGTGAGGAGACCTGAAAGTGGCACATGGGCAGAGTGTGGCGATGGAGACAGCAGCAATGGGAGGCCGTACAGGGACCCATGACACACTCTGGACCTGGCAGCAGCATGAGGAGGAGGCGGTACAGGGGCCCATGACAGATTACGGGCCAGGGCCATGAGGAGTCGGTACATGAGGAGTCGGGGGGCCCATGGGGCCTGGCAGCAGCAATGGGAGGCCCGTAATCTGCCAGCACCCTATGACAAAATGGAACCCACCAGCAGTGTGTGAGGAGACCTGAAAGTGGCACATGGCAGAGTGTGGCGATGGAGACAGCAGCAATGGGAGGCCGTAGGGACCCATGACACACTCTGGACCTGGCAGCAGCATGAGGAGCGGTACAGGGGCCCATGACAGATTACGGGGCCTGGCAGCAGCAATGGGAGGCCCGTAATCTGCCAGCACCCTATGACAAAATGGATCTGCCAGCACCCCCACCAGCAGTGTGAGGAGACCTGAAAGTGGCACATGGCAGAGTGTGGCGATGGAGACAGCAGCAATGGGAGGCCGTACAGGGACCCATGACACACTCTGGACCTGGCAGCAGCATGAGGAGGCGGTACAGGGGCCCATGACAGATTACGGGCCTGGCAGCAGCATGAGGAGTCGGTACGGGGGCCCATGGCAGATTACGGGCCTGGCAGCAGCAATGGGAGGCCCGTAATCTGCCAGCACCCTATGACAAAATGGAACCCACCAGCAGTGTGAGGAGACCTGAAAGTGGCACATGGCAGAGTGTGGCGATGGAGACAGCAGCAATGGGAGGCCGTACAGGGACCCATGACACACTCTGGACCTGGCAGCACATGAGCATGAGGAGGCGGTACAGGGGCCCATGACAGATTACGGGCCTGGCAGCAGCAATGGGAGGCCCGTAATCTGCCAGCACCCTATGACAAAATGGAACCCACCAGCAGTGTGAGGAGACCTGAAAGTGGCACATGGCATGGCAGAGTGTGGCGATGGAGACAGCAGCAATGGGAGGCCGTACAGGGACCCATGACAGATCTGGACCTGGCAGCAGCATGAGGAGTCGGTACGGGGGCCCATGGCAGATTACGGGCCTGGCAGCAGCAGCAATGGGAGGCCCGTAATCTGCCAGCACCCTATGACAAAATGGAACCCACCAGCAGTGTGAGGAGACCTGAAAGTGGCACATGGCAGAGTGTGGCGATGGAGACAGCAGCAATGGGAGGCCGTACAGGGACCCATGACACACTCTGGACCTGGCAGCAGCATGAGGAGGCGGTACAGGGGCCCATGACAGATTACGGGCCTGGCAGCAGCATGAGGAGTCGGTACGGGGGCCCATGGCAGATTACGGGCCTGGCAGCAGCAATGGGAGGCCCGTAATCTGCCAGCACCCTATGACAAAATGGAACCCACCAGCAGTGTGAGGAGACCTGAAAGTGGCACATGGCAGAGTGTGGCGATGGAGACAGCAGCAATGGGAGGCCGTACAGGGACCCATGACACACTCTGGACCTGGCAGCAGCATGAGGAGGCGGTACAGGGGCCCATGACAGATTACGGGGCCCATGAGGCAGATTACGGGCCCCTGGCACGGCCTGGCAGCAGCAATGGGAGGCCCGTAATCTGCCAGCACCCTATGACAAAATGGAACCCACCAGCAGTGTGAGGAGACCTGAAAGTGGCACATGGCAGAGTGTGGCGATGGAGAGCAGCAGCAATGGGAGGCCGTACAGGGACCCATGACACACTCTGGACCTGCAGCAGCAGCATGAGGAGGCGGTACAGGGGCCCATGACAGATTACGGGCCTGGCAGCAGCATGAGGATGGGAGGCCCGTAATCTGCCAGCACCCAGACCAAAATGGGAGGGTAATCTGCCAGCAATGACACAAAAATGGAACCCACCAGCAGTGTGAGGACCTGAAAGTGGCACATGGCAGAGTGTGGCGATGGAGACAGCAGCAATGGGAGGCCGTACAGGGACCCATGACACACTCTGGACCTGGCAGCAGCATGAGGAGGCGGTACACGGGGGCCCATGACAGATTATTACGGGCCTGGCAGCAGCAATGGAGGAGTCGGTAACTGGGGCACCCATGGCAATTACGGGCCACCAGCAGCAATGGGAGGCCCGTAAAGTCTGCCATGGCACCCTATGACAAAAAAATGGAACCCCAGCAATGTGGGGAGACCTGAAAGTGGCACATGGCAGAGTGTGGCGATGGAGACAGCAGCAATGGGAGGCCGTACAGGGACCCATGACACACTCTGGACCTGGCAGCAGCATGAGGAGGCGGTACGGGGGCCCATGACAGATTACGGGCCTGGCAGCAGCAATGGGAGGCCCGTAATCTGCCAGCAACCCTATGACAAAATGAACAAAATGGAGACCCACATGGCAGCAGTGTGAGGAGACCTGAAAGTGGCACATGGCAGAGTGTGGCGATGGAGACAGCAGCAATGGGAGGCCGTACAGGGACCCATGACACACTCTGGACCTGGCAGCAGCATGAGGAGGCGGTACAGGGGCCCATGACAGATTACGGGCCTGGCAGCAGCAGCATGAGGAGGTCGGTACGGGGGCCCATGGCAGATTACGGGCCTGGCAGATGACGACGAGGCTGCCAAGTGCGATCAGCCTCATCATCATCAATTAGGGTCTCCGCCTCACTACTAGCAGCCCCCTCGGCTGCGTGTGGGTCAGGAGACAGACCTGTCTCTAGACCGGCTACCGAGCCACTCTCCTCGCCAGTACCCCTTCTTCGCCTGGCTGCTGAAGAGGCGGATGTCTCCCCCCCCCGTTCCTGACCGCCCTCTGTTAGCTCTTCCTCACTGTACAGTGGGGCTGAGCCCACAGCATGCGATACTTCGCTTGGTGAGGGAACACCAAAGGACAGGGGCAGGTAGAGGACACGTGATTTCAGTGGGCTTGCTCCCGGGCCATGCCAACTAACGGTTTGTGTCTGACGTACCCACCGACCGTTGGCTGTAGGTGTCAGAGGTGACCTGGGAAGAGGAAGACGACCGAGCCAACCAATCGATGACGGCAGGGTTGTCGGTGGAGACACGACCGCTGGATGACACCGGGAGCACTGGCCTCTGGCTGCGACTAGTGCTGCCCTCGACCCTTCCTCTTCCTCTGCCTGCCACGTCTGCTCGCTCCTGAAACATTGCCTCCTCTGCCACTCCTCTGCGTGTTGTCTGACATACTCTTTAATTCAACTATTCTGTGTCCCTGAGTAACGATTCTGTGTCCCTGAGTAACAAATTCTGTGTCCCTGAGTAACAATTCTGTGTCCCTGAGTAACGATTCTGTGTGTCCCTGTCCCTGAGCAAACGATTCTGTGTCCCTGAGTAACAATTTCTGTGTCCCTCAGTAACGATTCTGTGTCCCTCAGTAACAATTCTGTGTCCCTGAGTAACAATTCTGTGTCCCTGAGTAACAATTCTGTGTCCCTGAGTAACAATTCTGTGTCCCTCAGTAACAATTCTGTGTCCCTGAGTAACAATTCTGTGTCCCTGAGTAACAATTCTTGTCCCTGTAACAATTCTGTGTCCCTGAGTAACAATTCTGTGTCCCTGAGTAACAATTCTGTGTCCCTGAGTAACAATTCTGTGTCCCTGAGTAACAATTCTGTGTCCCTGAGTAACAATTCTGTGTCCCTGAGTAACAATTCTGTGTCCCTGAGTAACAATTCTGTGTCCCTGAGTAACAATTCTGTGTCCCTGAGTAACGATTCTGTGTCCCTGAGTAACAATTCTGTGTCCCTGAGTAACAATTCTGTGTCCCTGAGTAACAATTCTGTGTCCCTCAGTAACAATTCTGTGTCTGTCCCTGAGTAACAATTCTGTGTCCCTGAGAGTAACAATTCTGTGTCCCTGAGTAACAATTCTGTGTCCCTCAGTAACAATTCTGTGTCCCTCAGTAACAATTCTGTGTCCCTGAGTAACAATTCTGTGTCCCTGAGTAACAATTCTGTGTCCCTGAGTAACGATTCTGTGTCCCTCAGTAACAATTCTGTGTCCCT